GTTTTCATTGTGCCTTTCTAAGTTGGTTTCTTTTTCTTTTCAGATGAATATTTTGAAGATACCCAAACTTAATGGAAAATTTACCCTTTGTAAATGATGTGCCGTGCATCACATTATTTAGCATTTTCAATCAGTCAATATACTGAGCTTACGAATCCACTAATTTTTCCACTTTTAATAAAGTCAGTCAATGAATGAAAAGTGTTAGTGTGAAATAAAGCTTCCCTGTTTAATTAGTATTTTGCCTTTACCTGAATGGGGCAGCACTGTTTTATAAGAAGCTCACTGACAGAGCGTGAAGGTGAGTTATAAATACAGCATCATTATGTGCTCAGACTACTACATGCAGCATAACTGACAAGAGTGAGGAAAAAGATAGAGATATCCACCTTTTTTTAACCATAATTTTAGCCATTTGTAACTTGATTGTACGAGGCTTTCACTTTCATTTTTGCTTCTTTATATAGCACACTGGTTTTTGTTATCATATCATTTTGATTTATTATGACAATCATAAAAGCACTTGTTTGTAGTGCAAATAGTTTTACCGTTTATGGCACTTTGTTATTCTTTATTTACCAATTCATCGGAAGTCTCGCACATTCAAAGAAAGTACTTCCACGTTGCAAATAAGGTGGATATGACTGTTCTTGTTGTAATATCAAAAGGTGCTAAAAACAATAAAAATAAAAATAATTAAAAATATAAATAATATATAAATTTGAAAATGTTTATAATATTTTATAATTTAATCTTTTAAATATATATTAATATAAAAATAATTAAAACAGTCAGAAAGTGGGCATTAGAGGAGGGCCTAGTCTCAAGATCACTTTAGGTAATGCTGTAGGCCTAAAAGACTGCAACTAAGCTTGAAAAGCCTCAACGGATCTCTGAATCAATGAATCAGGGTATGTGTAATGCCCTGCCAGAATAATATAATACAAATGTTTAAACAAAAAAATTTATTAAAATTCAAATTTTGCCATGATAAAATGTGTAATCACGTTTGTGTATATAAAAAAAATAACTTTTAAAAGTTAATTATTACCTCAAAATAATATTGAACTGTGAAATGAAGAGGAAGTGACATCTATGATCCATGTTCAAATGTTGGCGAGGTCTACTTTGATTTAACATTTATAATGACTTTTTATTCATGCTTGACAAGATTTGTCAAGCATAACTTACACCATATCACATAAAATAAAAAGAAAAAAATGTTTGTTCATATTTTGTACAATTTATAGATGGTAATGGTAATACTGGAAAATGTTCAAGTTGTTAACATTAATTAAAGGGGTCATATGATGCGATTTCAATTTTTCCTTTCTCTTTGGAGTGTTACAAGCTCTTGGTCAAGTGAAACTGGCCAATGGCGTTCAAGCGCGCAAAATATGAGGGTCTCCCACTCTATATAAAGCAGCGCTTGTACGTCATCTATTCAGAATCTTGACTGAAGCAACTTGGCATTCTAAGATCCTGAGCTAGGTGACACGGCAATAAGAGCAATGTCTCGTTCCCTCATCTCAGGGAACCGAGGTTACGTGAGTAACCGAGAGCGTTCCCTTTCGATTCGGTCACTCTACATTGCTATGGGAACGTATAAAATCCCACCGTGTCACAGCGATGGAGCCTGGCTCGACTAAGTATGTCAAGTTTCACATACGGAACCGTAATGAGAGCGGCAATGATATTGGCACTCTTGTTAAACAGCTCAGGTCTACAGGACCTTGTCGAAACCATGTAAAAGTCAAGGGGGGCACGGCACATGTGAGGCAAGTGACGACACATCTAGGTTATAAAACCTTGCAAAAGTGCTGGGTGACGACCAGCCTGCCGCCATGCAAATGTCCTGAATAGATATGCCATTTGCCCGAGTCCGCGGGTTGAGTGGGCCCGAACCCCTATAGGACATCTCACGCCCTTAGAGCCATGATAAGCCAAAGTAAAAGTGTGACAGCCTTTGCTTGGACACAGGCAGGCCTTTTGTGCGCTCTCCAAAGCATACAAATAGCTGGTCCGAGAGCCTGAACTGTCTATAGCGCTCAATATAAATGCGCACCGCACGTACAGGACACAGCAAAAGTGTATTAAGCGGCTCCGGCCCGTATTTCGGGACGGAAAGCAGATAGTGTTATGACCTGCGCTTTAGATGGAGTCGAAAGCACTTTAGGCACATAACCCTTCCTAGGCTTTAAGTTGAGTCTGCAATCACCTGGCCCGAACTCAATACACGAGTCGTCAACTGACAGCGCCTGCAGGTCCCCCACTCACTTAACAGAGGCCAGCGCGAGCAGGAGAGCTGTCTTGAGAGAGAGCGCACGCAAGCTCGCTGAATGTATGGGCTCGAACGGCAATTTTTTTTGGGGGCTTTTGAAGGAAGGCAAGAATTATTGGTATTGGGTAGTTGAATTTGTGAAAACTCTTCATTTATATGCGTAAAGTCGTCTAGTGGAAGGAGCCCTAGCCTCAGCGATAGTGTTCAACATGTGCTGAGGAAGTGCATCTGTTACTGGCAAGCTCCGTCGAGCGGCCAGACATGAAAGCTCCATGACTCTGGATTTGGATGCTATATCGTTAACTGTGCTTGAGAGAAGAGGTCTCTCTTCAGTGGGATAGTCCACGGAGGGCTTCTAGCATCTCCACCAGTTCTGGGAACCACGGCTGATTGGGCCATTTCGGTGAGAGGGGGTGTCGATCTGCCCACAGAAGAAGGTCTCTCGCCAGCCGCAGCAGCGGCCGCGAGCTCACGCCCCCTTGGTGATTTATAAACGCTACCACTGTCATGCTGTGCGTCCTGATGAGAACGTGACTGTGGAGAATGTCTGGGAGAAAGCACTCGAGTGCTAGGTGTATAGGTCGGAGCTCCAGACAGTTTATGTGCCACAACTTCTCCGTTTCTGACCACGTCCCGAAGACTGGTCTGCCGTCGCATACGGCTCCCCAGCCCGTGCTCGATGCATCTGTTGTAACAGTCTTTCTCCTGATCACTTGGCCAATAAGAACACCCCGGCGATACAGAGTCATATCGCGCCAAGGGGTCAGCGCATCCCAGCAGACAATCGTCGAGATAGTTCAGGATGCGCATTCCGCTCTGCTTCAGAGGAGAGAGAGCAGCATCCATGCATTTCGTAAACGTACGAGGGGCCAGGGATAAACCGAAGGGTAGGACTGTGAATTGGTACGCTATCCCTTCAAATGTAAATCTCAGGAAACGCCTGTGGCTACCTGAATGTGAAAATAAGCATCCTTTACATCCACAGAGATAAAACAATCTCTCGGTCTGATGTGTGAGAGGATTTGTCTCAGCGTAATCATTTTGAACGAGCGCTTCGAAAGAGCGCGATTCAGCGCGGTCTCAGGTCCAAGATTGGGCGGAGTCCGCCGTCTTTGGTACCAGAAAATAGCGACTGTAGAAGCCGCTCTCATGGTCTGCTAGGGGCACTGTCTCTACAGCGCGTTTTGCGAGGAGGTTGTGTATTTCCTCTCGCAGAATTGAGGCATTCTGCTCCCGTACAGTGGACATTAATACAGGAACTGAAGCGTGTAGTCGTTCTTTATTGATTTCATAACCTACTCTGATACCCCTGGCAGTGTCTGCCACGCTTCTGTGAACTGTGACAGCGGCCAAGGCGGACTGCACACCGTGTGGGATAACTCGCCGTTCGGGGGCGGGGAGTTTAATACCACACGAGTGTGAGAGTGAGTGATGGGGGAGAGGGGAGTGAGAGGAGGAGAATTGCTTTGATATTGAGGTGAGTTTTGTATGTTTTTCGACTTTATTGCACTGCATAGTGGAACAGTCAAAACACAAATATTGACAATTGCTCTCGCCGCCCGCAACAGGCAGGGGGGCGTGGTGAACACACACAGCAGAGCAAGCAGACTTTTTCAGTGGTTTCTTCAGCGCTGGGTGCAGATTTCCTCCTCCGAGAGACAGCATCAGGAACTTTGATTCCGGTGCCGGTAGCCTGCCGTCTCTGTCAGGGCGGGGTCTCTGGCACTTCGAGCCTGTCTTGGTCTCACCGCCGGCTCATGTTCGCGCTGAACAGCAGCAGAAGAGGTGTGTGGTCTTCCCGCGCGCTGCGCTGAGGAGGAGCGGGAACGCGCAGGA